CTCTGTCTTCCATTATTTTTGGGGTTTTAGAAATCGATCGAATATTGTATGGTCGATTGCTGTCAGTCCGACGTGGGACATGGGATATGACGAACACCTGTTTTTTGGTGGAATTAGGCTAATTAGAATTTTCTACTGACTGCACTGTTTTTTGTAGTTGTGCTGATGTGATTCGGTGGACCTTTAGGAGGATATGTTGCCTCTATATATAGGGGGCGATGTGAAGATAACTGCATATGTCCTTCTTTAATGCGTTACTATCAGACGCGTGTCACTGAGTGTTCTCATTGATTTTGAGGGATCGTCATTTCAATGAGCGGAGGTTGTGGAAGCCGGATGAACTCTGTTTTATGTTCCTTTTTTATTTAGAACTCCGATTACGAATTTTAGCTTGAGGAGTTTGACAAGCCTGGCATTCCGGTTATTAAATATTTTAGTCAGTTATGCGCTCTGCTTCCGATTCATGGCAGAAGGTCGCTGTTTGTGATGCTGAAAGGCGTTTGCTTTGGAGTTCAATCGTGTGCCTCCTACTTTGCAGCCTTTGTTTCAATTAGCCGAAAGTGTAGAAATGAGTTTGGTGTTGCCTGCTTAGAGGATGTGTTCGTATTATAAAGGACATTTTCCAATGGGATTATAATGGTTATTAATGGGACTACATTGTGACATTTGCGTTTTGTTCTGGTCAAGAAGTCTGTTCTTTTTTCGTGTGCTTTATTTCCTGGTTAATTGAGTTTCGCTGTTATAGTGATGAACGCAGCAGCAGCAGCAGCAGCAGCAGCAGCAGCAGCAGCAGCAGCAGCAGCAGCAGCAGCAGCAGCAGCAGCAGCAGCAGCAGCAGCAGCAGCAGCAGCAGCAGCAGCAGCAGCAGCAGCAGCAGCAGCAGCAGCAGCAGCAGCAGCATCAGCAGCAGTGGGGGGAGAGAGAGAGAGAGAGAGAGGACAGAGAATGAAGGCAGATTCATAGTTTATTTCTAGTTTATTTTACCCTCATTCAGCAAGTCATTACCGGCCGCCTGCAGGTGTTAGCAGAAACATAAAACGTGTCTATCTTTTGTATTGGCATGCAGGAGTGATGAGCGAACTTTGAATTTCACGTCATGCAGAGAAAGGAAGAGTTCTTCCTCGGTTTCCCTTTTGCAGAAGCACCGACAGATTTGCATCGGCTGTACTATATCTTGACCCATCATGACTGGAGGATCTGCTGTGAGAGTGGTTAGGTAGCCTAGAATATGTACATTGTGTGTACGTGATGCCTGGTGCTGAGGATATCTGCCAAAGTGTTTCTACCAGGAGGAGCCAAATTGAATATGGATGCATGCGTTCGCCTGCTTAGTTGATAGTGCAGGGCCGTTAAATCAGTGTCATTGATCACTAAAGTACTGTGCTAAGAGAGGAAATGAGAGGACTGTTTCGGAGTAGTATTCATATTACGAAGACTGAAGTGGATGTCAATGCTGATATGCGTATGAATTGCATGAGTATGCGGAAGCAGATGGCCGCTCATGCGTAGAGTACTTATGAGAGAAGGAGGAGATAACGCGAGAATGTAGACAAGTGTTGTGGACATGTGTGGTGTGGGGAATTGTTTTATTACCCGGTGGAGCGGAAATAGTTGGTTTCGGACGGGATTGTTGTTTCCGTAACTGAGACCTTCATCTGTAAGCAATTGCACTAACGTTAGTTGCTGTGCCGCCAGATTGGACCGTCTTGTGGAATTCCTGGGGATGTATTGTTTCACGCGGCGAGCGTGTACGCCTAAAGGTCGTCTGATTTGCCGAAAGTGTTTTTGAGTTTGACGGAGTATAAATAATGAAAGATGTGCCCGTGTGTGACTTGACTTCACAGTGTTATGCAGGGATATAGAATGTTGGATGTTAATCATATCGGCGCTTTAAATTCTCCAGATCGAAAACCATAAATGGATGTTGGTATAGTTCTGTCGTTTCTGTGGTGCCAGCTTTACCTCTTTGACTCGCTAGATTTCTCGCTTTCTGTCTGTGTATCTGCCTGTTTCTTTCTTTCTCTCTGTCTCTCTGATGACGCGTGATCTATGTAGAATAATATAGGTGAGGCTTCT